GACGCGATAACGGCGCCGGCGCAGCATCACTCTCCTGCTGACTCCAGGCCTCGGCCAGCACGACGAAGATCGCCCCGGGCGGAGATCGGACGCAGCCGACCAATCATCGGCATGCCCGAATCGCCCCAGGCGCAGACCAAAAGCAGCCGGCCAATCACGGGCCGACCCGGATCGCCCCAGGCGCAGAGGCCTCGGGGATTGCGGTCGGCACAGGCCTGTGAGCTGACCTTGGAAGACTTTTAAGTGTGTATGACACACAAAACCTCTTGTGGCATGGCACCGTGCATGCGTGGTGAAAAGTTGCGCATATTTACGCAAACTGCAAATACTTTTGGTGGGGTAGTGCAGACCATTTCGCCACGCGCCAGGCACACTGCTCTAGCAAATAGCTGTGCCGCTCGGCCATGTTCCTGTATCATATCGCCCCGCGCTGTTCGATAGTAGTGATAACTACCATCAAATTACGATATTGAAGATTGCAATCTGTATTATCGTAACGATGTTAACGGTCGTAGCGATGGTAACGATAATACAGATTGCAATAATGGATAATGTAGTGCACTATGCATATTTCGTCCCACCGTAGCGAGATCATCATCGTCTGGGTAGCCTGGAGTTTATTGAAGGGATTGTGCATACCACAAAGCCTACTGGTTTTCTCGATCAGGCGGAATGATTAAAACTACGTGTATCGTTTTTTGCTTTGGTTCACATGTTTCTGATTCGTCATCTGTCATAATGCTTTGGACTAGAACGTTGCTATAATGATAGTACAAAACAGCGTACCTGCCCTATGTTCCATAATGTAGTTGTTGGTACAAAACATGACTGTACTACTCATCGAGGCATACTACTTCAGTGTGCATGGTTACATATGGATCGGCATGTTGCCTAAATTTAAACTCTTCTAACTCAGCGTTTTGGAATTTTTCTTGTCCAAGTACGTCGGAGATTCAACAATTCAAAAAGAAAACCGACCGTCATTTGCCATGGGTGGCTGCGCGGAACCCCGTTAAGCAAAGCTTGTTGCAAAGACTGACACTCCCGACTGTGACGACTTGTTTATTCTCGCGGGCGTTTCTGAGTAGGTCTGACTGCTGCAGACCGCGCGCTCAGACTCTCCCACCGCTGACAGCACACGACATGCACCAGCGGTCGTGGCTAGACCGCCCGCTCCGCGTGAGAGCGGAAGAGGGCACGTTCGCCGACCGCAGCGCGCCCTCAGGCGTGACCAACCGCCGCGGGGTATCCCGCACGTGGCCGCAGCTGGGCGTGGTCGCTCCAGTCTCGCCCGGTGCGCTGACATGGACGGCGCGGCAGACAGAGCACGCCACTGGGTGGAGGCGGACGACTGCGGAGCTGATCAGCGGGTTCACCGCTGATCGCTGTTGCTTGCGTTTCACTGCATGAGGTGCTGTTGCAACAGTGCCAATATTTGGTTTATGCGTTTTGTTAATGTTTCTGTGGAAGAAATGTTCGGGGCGCAGGCCATCACGTCTTTTTTCTTAGTGTCAATGAGTAAGGAAAGGTGCGCAACTCATACGGTGGCTGCACTTACTGGCAAAATAAAACGCATAAACTTGGCACTTACTTGAGCCCCAGTCGCTTATTTTCGCGGCCTGGAATCATTGAAATTTGCACGTATCTGTGCCACGTAGCCAATTGTAAGCGAAGCATGAAAGAAATGGCCTGCTTGTATAGAGGCCTCCTTCCAGCAAACCGAGATTACATGCTTCATGCTGTTGTCGTTTTATGTTGTCATAAGTTGTCAGATTTCGTTGGATAGTGGTGCTTGAACTAGCGTGCTTCTGGTTCATTCGCTGTCACCAAGGCTCGTGTCCATCCAGAACAAAGTTCACTCTTTGTGTGAAAGACACGGCTATGATTTACGGTTCCAAATGCCTTACTGGGTAATTCGCCCTGGTGAACACTTCATCCTGTTGTCAGCCACCACAAATGTGAATGAGACCTTACACGACAAAGCATCCTGCATTGTCGCGCAACTGGGTTGCAATGGCCATCTCCGGAAGTTCCATTCGTCCTGTAATTGCGCTCGCCTTGAAGCCAGGGCAAGAGCGGCTTATCAGCCTTGTCTCTCCGACGGCCCGGCCGGCGGTCCACGTGTTCGTCCATCACACTTGTAGTGGCACTACGCGCCTGTCAGGTGTGGAGATCGATATGTCAGACATACACAGCATGGTGGCTGTTTTTCGCCACGACTGCCCGTCAGTGCGCCATGACTGAGAGAAAAACAGAGCCCTCGTTAACAACCCGAACCCTGTTAACGATTATGCAATAAGGTCAGCAGCGTTTTGTAGCTGCCTTCGTGGGGATGCATGTTAAATGATCACGCATTCATTTCCGAGTCGGGGAACATACTCGTGTGTCGACACTAACTAAGTTGGTTTTAATTAATGACCGACTTTGAAAAAGCTTCACCAACAGCTGTACGGATTTGTGTTATTTTTCTAGGAAGTGACCTATGGCCCCCAAAAGTCGCATAGGCTTTGAAGTTGCCATCACATTTCCCGTATGAGAACCTGGTTGACATGACTGACTCCAAATATGCGTTTGAGGCCGGCTGCTGGGCGTTGGCGCCCTCTCCTACCCTCCCAGCAAACTTCCCTAAACAGCATTTCTGCAGTGCCAGAAAGAAGAGAAACGAAAAAACGGAAATGTTGTCGGTAGAGCTACCCTGGAAAAATGCACAGACATTACCGCCGGCGTTTTGCAGCACATACTACCTTAGTGGCGTTGTAAACCAAGAGTTTGGAACGCTCCGTAAAGCTGAACTGTTCGGGAACATGGCATTTGATCGCTCCACGACCTGATTTTTCGTACTTTAATGCCTCTTACGTCATTGCTGCTGTTTTTCGTCCTCACACAGGTCAGTTACTTTAAATGTCACATCAAGATGATGGTCCTCCTACCACTTTATTCCGTTCTACAAGTTGTACTGTTTTACACTGCATTAGATCTAACTAACATTGTTCCGTCTTTTTCGCGCCAAATTGCAGAATTTGCTGTTAATCATCGCAAGTTGCTTGCTATGGTTTGGGTCTGGGCCATTTTATCGATTTTACCTGAAAGCCTCGGAACGAAGTGAAGGGCTGAACACGAACGTCGGTGAACAACGCATTCCTCTAAAGTCGAGAGTCCGAAGGTTCTTTTTCGTGACTGGTTTGACTAGGTAGCAACTGCTGGGAATGTCTCGGCACCCGCTTGGCACGTTGTAAGAATCACCCTCGCCCTGCAGAGGATCAGAGTCGAGGCATGTAAATGATTCAAAGCTTCCTCTCAGCGCGCAAATACGTGGCGGCCGCGGATCCGGCCGACGAGTGAAGTCCGTGGGTGACCTTACCGTGTCCTCTGACCACACCCTGGCTGCAGCCGCTCCTCAGAGGGCGGTCCCGGACGGGCAGACCGCCGCCCGGAGGTTGAACCCATTCAGCTCTGTGTGCACGGCGCTCCACTGCTAGATGGCATATCTTACGGCACGTGATCTTACCGCATGCACGTGATAAAATTGTCAGATCTCAAACTCCAGGTAGCGTGGGTGGAGCTTTGCGCCGCCTTTGGAATGTTCATGTCCCCCACTCGAAATGTTGAGCCCCCCCCCCCCCCAATAATACTTTAATCCTAGAGCTAAATGCATTGAAGGGGGAGGAGGGGATTCGGAAGAAGTCTGCTCTGCATTCAAAACGATGGGCTACCCCCCCCCCCTTTCGTGTTTTTGACGGATGCTCCATCTCTGGCAGACAGTACCTGTCAGGGTCTGAATCGTCTGCCTTAAGATGTTGGGATCTTTCACCTAATTCACCATGCATGCTTTATGCTGATGTACCCAGAGTAGGTGCTAACTTTCAGCAGGAGCGCGGCTAACACTCTGACCAACAGCAGGCCAACAGTGACTCAGGGTGAAATTCTCAACCAATGTTTTCAAAGATGATGTTGTTTGATGCATTCGTCGCATGACACGAAACGTCTGCAAGCGAGACCGTGAACATCTGCCGGTAGCGATGCTGAGGAACATCAAAGATCACAACGAAGGCTAAACAAAGGCGATGTCTTTCATCGCGTCCTGGCAAGTGGTGCAGCGTTTACTCGCGATGGTCGCCTCAGTACTAACGGGTGCAGCGAGCGATGAACCGTGGAACACCGTGAAATGCGTTTGTGTTTCAGGACATGAGAAACAATGAACCCACTAAACCAGCCACAACCTCTGACTGAACTGTTCCAGCTTTTGGGACGATCAGAAATGTCGAACATAGCAGGGGTGCTTGAGGGTGTCACACCACCTCCCGCAAAATGTAAATGTCACAATTTTTACACACAGATTTCACCCTGTTGCCTCACACAGCGCGTGACAGCACGTAATGATGAATCGACACCAACCAGCGGCCAAACCAGTGGTAGTTGGCGTAAGTACTCATCGCAAGGTACTTCCTTATTTTAATAGCCACGTTCAACCTCAGTATCTGGAGCGTTTCATGCCTTTATAAGGTTTTGATAGCGAGTATCTGTTTGCGTGTTGCCATGCCCTTACCGCGGTGCAAACTCCATACAAAGGTGAAGCACTCCCTTTTGCAGTTTTACGTTGTGATGGCCACAAAAAGGTGAAATTCCAAGAGGTAAATCCGACATACTCCCACCTCCGCGCATTTTACTCGGTTGGCGTGCCTGCCACGCAAAAAAAAAAAACACCTTTGAGGACTCATTTTCCCGTTGAGGACTCATTTCCCCATATCTACCCTTGTCCACCGCTATCGCCAGCTCACATCGCACCTCCTCCGCCCTTGTCCACAACGCTGCAGGAGGCAAAAGACAAGTTTACACGCAGATGATCCCATCCCCGTCTCTGCCGTCACCGCACGCTGGCGCCCTCGCTGGCGTCCCTCGGCGCGCCACTCTCGCCGCCGCGGCGCCCACGGCGCGGCCGGTGGAGGGCCACGCCTCTCGCGCGGCTCCCAGCCGGATGTGCCCCGCGGCGGGGTCGCATCGACGCCGCGTATATAAGCGCCGGCCCGCCGTCTCACAGCGTTCTTGTGAAGAGAGACAACCCAGCCAGCAACATGATCCGTGCCGTGAGTACTACGGGGCTCGGGTGGTCTGGGCTAGCTGACAGCACGCGTCTCCTACTGGCAGCGTGGGATGTGATCGGCTGTTTCTGTCATTTTTCCGTCATTTTCTTGTTCTGTCTGGGCCGGGTCGACGTTGCGTGGTCTTGAAATCATGAAAGTCATCACATTATTTTCGATGGGATCGCAAGTCATACCCAAACTCTGTCGATAGACTGATAACGCCTTTCGTTTCCTTGCGCATCGAGTGCTTTTGTGACCGTTCCGCGCCGCTCTGCCGTCCACGCAGTGCTGATACTGACGGCACCAGCTGGCCTGACCCGACTTGACCTGCGCGCCGTCCCCCTTCAGGTCGTCTTCGCCCTGGTGGTGGCCTGCGCCACGGCCGCGTTCCTCCCGGTCGTGGACGTGGACCGCTCGTTCCCGGTCCGCGATGAGTTCGACCGGCCGATCTACACGCTCGGCGACAAGGCCGCCTTCGACGTGCGCACCAAGACCCTGCGCACGGAGCAGGACGTGCCGATCGTGCCGGTCGCCCCCGTCGCCCCCGTCGCCTACCACGCCGCCCCCGTCGCCTACCACACCGCCCCCATCGCCTACCGCGCCTCGCCCCTCGCGGTGTGGTAAGCGCGTACGGCGCCCACGCCGTCCGCTACATCTAAGCGATAGGTGAGCGAACTGGCTGGCGCTGGGTGCTGGTTTGGTGCTGAGGTCTTCTGGTGCTGAGGCCTTCTGGAGCTGACTCCTCCTTGGTCTGAGGCCTTCCAGTGCTTAGGCCGTCTCAAGCTAGGGCTGACGGGGCGGGCCACTTTTCACTTTGTTGAGGTTTTGGTTTCTGGGCCGTCCCACAGCGTCCTCCTCTGTTGTTTGGTTCCAGTTCAATGTTTTAGTTTTAGAAATGTCGTCTTGGTTTCCAAATGATGCGTCCCGAAGCCGTATTTTGACAACGCATCACGGTCGTGCCTTTTCGGGGTTCCGCGCTGCCGACGATCGTGTTGCTCGCGCGCTCGCCGCCTGCGCTGACCCCGTGCGTGACGGTCCTCGTCTCCTGCAGGGCGGTGTTGAGGAGACCTCCGCGGCTGGCGGAGGCGGCAGTTCGGGACACACGCCTTGCGAGCACACCGGGCCGGGTCGGGCCGATCCGAGTGACCCGGCGAGCTGGGCGTGACGTCACACCCCTGGCTGTGACGTCACACCCTGGCGCCGCGTCAGCGACGGCCGAGGCATCACACTTCACAAGACCCCGTCACATTCCAAACAACCGCGGTCATCTGGGTTGATTTGCACTCGTGCATGGAATACACGTTTTGAGATGATACCGGGTTTGAGGGAGCAGTGAAGGCCTATGAAGGCGTGGAAGTGAGTGGAGAGGGGAAGAATTAATACGATGCTTCGGTGCCTCAGAGAAAAGAGGAGGCTTTGGAATTAAATGTAACGGCAAGGGGCTTGAGAACCCATGACAGATTTATCATACAAGATACATCATTACCAGAACTACCCATGGTGTCACCGACAGGCACACGGGCACGGTCTTTATCCGCGATGCATCGGTCAGAGCCAGAAAAGAATCGGTCAAAACTACCTACGCGTTCCCAGCAGTCGCTTTTAAAAAACATGATAATTTTATGGTCGTGTAGGCTCAAGTAAATTCTAACAGATCTAATAAGAGCACTCGCGTAGCCCAGCAGCATTACAGGAATATTTCCATCACGAATGTCTTGAGCAGAGTGAACCAGGGAGCATCGTATATGCACACGTGGAGTGCATCGTTGACTTGTCCTCTTCACTCGTTGACTTGTCCTCTTCACTCGTTGACTTGTCCTCTTCACTCGTTGACTTGTCCTCTTCACGGATCGATATGTCCGATTGATTGTGTATGGGTGGATCCGAGGATGAGACTGGACAGTTACAGTATACACGACCCGGTTTAGTAGTGAATTTGATGACAAATTTATTCGCCAGGAGGGAAGATGTTAAGCTGAGAGCAATTACAGGGAAATTTGGGTATGCAAGTTACATGCTTTTTGTACCTTTTAGCTGTCTTTCAAAGGATCTGGGCGCACAAAAAACAGTATCAGGTTGATGACGGACGCTTTTCAGTAGCAAGTGTCAACATACGCTAAAGGTGTTGACTACAAGGGCGCCAGCTCGCCCAAATCTCTGGTTCCCGACCAGAAGCGCTGTTTGCTTTATATTGAACACATCCACCACGTGACGCTCCGCGACTTTGCCAATTGATTCGAAAGCAGGGGGCGCCCCACCCTTGCCTCCGGCTCTTGCACCCTTACAAGCCCCGAAGGAAATGCAATATTTAAATTTTCTCGCCGGAAACTGGAGGCGTTAGCTTCTAATCCTTAGTCGAGAGCTGCTGATTTACACTTCCTGTGTTAGGAAGCATTTCGTAGCATTCAGTGGGGAACATTTTCGTAGCATTTAAAATAATTTTGTGAGATAACACCCGGATCAGTGTCGCATCTTTCCTCGTCCACGGATTTATAGCTCTGTTTCGTAATCAGTGCAAAAGTCCGTGCCTTTCATATGAGTGCAGTGAGAAGCGATTATCACGTCGGATTTTGATAATTATGCTAATGTTTTAGTCCATGGCGCAGAAATGGCACTAATTCGAGTTCTGGATGTGTTTTGTTGTTGTTTTCTCAAAATGCCAAATTACCTTTTCCTCTACGAGAGACAAAACCTTTTTGAAAATGTGGTGAATCCAATCCCTTTAAATTGGGCTGATATGCGAGTGTGGCGACAGAGACAGCTTTGGAGAATGTGTTTACATAAGGGATTGAACGGGATGGGATTTTTAGCACCGGTAAAAAGATGGCGTCATGGTGTATTGGGTTTGAATTGATCATGTTAAACTCTGCTGGACCCTCCAATATTTGAGTTCAGTGGAAGCCGTAATGAGTCAAATACAATGTCTGAAGGGCTAAATTTGACGCATAGTTATTCCACTTGTAAAACGCAATGACATGTAACCCATAGTTTTTTTGTTTTTGTTTTTGTTTTTTGCTTCCAGGACGCACCTCGTCCTTTGTCACGTGCCAACACAATCCGTGACGGTTATCTGCTGACTGTCAGTCAGAAGATCCGTTATCTTTCGCCATTCTCCTTTCGAGCCATTTGAACTTACCCGGATTCGCATGTTCCCAGCATTACGGAAAGATAGTTGACTACTGGGACTGCAGCAGTGCAATGTGACGACGGCTGAGTCGGGGCGGCCTCTCGGGTGTCCGGGACTCTCTTACGGGGGCTCTCAGGAGGGGGGGGGGGGGAGCTCCCGGGTGTCTCGGGCGGGGCTTTCGGGCGTCCGGGGTTCTCGTACGGTGGGCTCTCGGAGGGCTCCCAGATGTCTCGTGCAGGGCTCTCGGGCGTCCGTGGCTCTCGTGCGAGGGTTCTCGGGCGGGGCTCTTGGGTCTTCGGGCGGAGCTCTCGGGCTTCCGTGGTTCTCGTGAGAGGGCTTTCGAGCGGGGCTCCTGAGTGTCTCGGGCGGGGCTCTCGGGCTTCCGGGGTGACAAGTCAGTGCGGGCGTGGCTTTCGACTGTTTTACACGTATCTGTCTGACAGGAGGAACTGCTCTGTGACGAGGCGTTTAACGTCTTCCGATAGCATCAGTGCGGGCATGGCGACTCAGCGAGAATCATCCGAAAATTATACAGCTATGGGTGATACCTATGGGATAGTCTAGTCACATAATGCGATGAGTGCCTCAAGCCTATTTCCGTGGCGATTATAAGCTAAGTTAAGCTACTGTTGCGTAAACTGATCATAACAGCATTCTCTCCCCCTGCTTCCCTTTCCTTTTACCGGGTTACTGTGGTATTTTGCTGCCAACGTTGTTAACAAAACATGATGTCAACAGTATTCTGAAAACATTAACTGCATCATGCATAGCATATTGCATTTAGATCCGCTTCGTTGTCATATGCCCACAATTCACGCTATTCCAGGTGTCGGGTCCTTCAACAGCATTCCCTGTCACCACTTCAGGAGCTGAGTCCCAGCACTAGGCCCCTCCAACAGCATCCAGAGCCGCCACCCCGGGCACTGGGTCCCTCCAGTCTCCCCCTCCCCCTCCGAACCGCCGTAGAAGGCGTCTGGTCCCTTCGCCAAACTCTCGAGTTACCACCTAATGTGCCAGGTGTTGCTGGTCGGCCCAGCGCAGCCCTGATAGCGCCCTGATAAAATATAAAACGCTGTCCTGCGAGAACCAGGTGGCGATCTGCGGGGAGCGAGGAGGAAGTACCGTCAGTGCTCCAGATGACCCTGGAGGCCGGTGGGCGGGCCCGCCACACTCGGTGCCTCCCTGGGCGCGCCACTCCTTGAACAGGGGCGTAGTCAGGGGCAGGAGGCCACGCGTGAGTGAACCGAGCTACGAAGACTGATGCGGCCTACGCAGACTGATGCTACGCAGACTTGCTACGCTATGCACACTTTACGCAGACCTGAGCTACGCAGACTAGGCTCTATGCAGACTGATGTGCATTTCGTTGTGCATGTCTGCGAGAACCAGATGGGTGGTGTCTCGATCTCGACCTCGATCTCGACCCTCTCCCCCCTTCAGAGCGACCTGGCCGCGCTGCCGTGCACGAGATTGGTATTCACTGCTCACGTATGCCGCTGCTGATCTGGATCGATCGGCGTGATGGGCGGGGGGGGGGGGCTCGCGCGTTGAGTGAGGGGGAGAGGTGGGAGAGTGCGTGTTCGACGCGTTGGGTGAGGGGCGCACCATGGGCTGGGGTCAAGGAGAAAACGAGCGGTTCGGAAATGCGGGTAATCGACGAGGGCTTACGGTGAAGGATGAGGTCACAGGCCTCATTATCGAGAGCGTAAAATAATAAAGCAATGAAAACCGCCTTCAAGGAGAGCACACATCTGCTACTTACCAGCAGCTTGCTACTAGCAGTGCGGCAACACCACTTTGTAACATGTTTGTAAACATTACTTGAAAGGCCGCCACTGTCCATATTTTGCGACTTGACAGCAGTCAAGATGGCTTGCATAGGAAATGTAGAGATATGATAAGCCTCGCTCGAATGTAGTTCATGCAATCATGGAAATGTTCCGTTTCGAAAGGTTCCTTCGGCCAGCTCTGAATAGATGCGCCGCCAATGTGGGAGAGGGGGCATGGTGGGAAGAAGCGGCCGTGCCCCTGGGGGCTCGCGTGGCCTTCCCACGGCGGCAGCGACGTCCTGCCATCTCAGTGGTTTGATCGGCAAGTTTGGTGAACTCAGAGCACCGTGTGCTAACCGTCGGTTATGCCCCGAGCATCGAATGCTAGTGGTGCGCGTGGCTCCATCCAGGGAGACGGCCGCATTTGAAGACCACTGCTAATGTTTTCTTTGATTGTGACTGCTTATGTGACTGTGATTATTTATCACTCCACATGACACCGAACAGGGAAGCATGCCACCTAAAACATAGCATGTACCGATGATATGAACATATTTTCGAACAAAGAAGTTAGATGACGTTGCCAGCAGCGTAACGCGATTTTGTTTGCTCTAAGAAAATCCCAGGGCATGGACTTTTCAGATGGGGGTTTAAAATAGACTAACGCTAAAAAGAACTCTTAAGCTTCCTTCAGCGGCTGGTTTCCAACGCTGCGCTGTAGAAAGTTGCTTTATAGTGATAAGCCAGCTAGTTAACACAGGATGAAAAAAACTAAGTTGATTGTCGTAACAAATTTCAATTCCGGGCCATTCAGGAATAGCTTTTGAGGAATGGTATCATATTTTAAGCAAAAGCACCTTATCTAAATACGCAGGGGCTCACAGTGTATGTTGTATGTGTAAGGTAAGAAAGGAAGAGTGCCAGCTTTGTCGGTAATCACATAAATACTCCGCAATGTTAGTGCTTTAATCCGCACATTTTTAATGGATGGACCTCTGGGAGTACAGCTCACGCTAAGCGGTGTGTGTTGTATTACCCCTGACTTCTTCCATCTGATTACGCAATTCCAGATAAATGGCAGAATTTGGTGGTGAAAGATGAACGTTGCCGCGGTGCTCGGCACGGTCCGTCCTATTCTCTGACGTCACCTGACTTGTTGCGCGACCACCGCCACCGGCGCAGCCCATACCTGCTAAAGGTTATATATATATATATATATATATATATATATATATATATATATTTATACTGGAATCGCGCGATCGGATGGTAGGGGTCAGGGCTCACACAACAAGCACTGCTTAGCGTGGGCGCTGATCCCCAAAATCCATCCATTCAAAGTGTTCGGATCAAAATTCCAAAACAAAGAAAAAAGAGCAACTAGCGAGCTAAACCTAAAAAAGCTAACCAAGACGAC